TTGGTTTGCTGGTCCTTATATCCTGTTGTTATAAATATTTAATATTGTATATTAAAAAAAAAATGTGGAGCAGATGTGAATTGGTTAAATGTGAAACAAACAAAAACAACAACTTATTTTTAATGTAAAATACATTAGAGCAAAAAACCTCGCCAGGCACTGGCTGCATATGTGAATGCAGGCAGATATTATAAAGCTCTGATAATTGTTTGAAGGTAAAATCTATCGGGCGAGTTTTGCCTAACATACAAATATATTATATTAGTTCATGTACATTAATTAGTGTTACATTAAATCTAATTTGAAATTTAAGATTGACCCAAAATGATCGAGTATTTTAGGGCTTCGTTAGGGCTCAAATGTTTCAAGCAACGAAAACAAAAACCAGAAACAAACCAAATTTAACAGGAACAAACAAAATCAAAATCATGTTTTAGCATTCTGAACAGAAACGCTTGTTTGACTTCCAAATTAAACTTAAACATCTTTCAATCAACCATGGACTTGTGTCATTATACAATTAACATTTTTCCGAAAACAAGCTCAAATGGAGTTAGGCTGTTTTTCACCAGCGAATGTCTGAGATTTGTGTTTTGTGAGGTATATGAAGTAGGATTAGGAGTAGCATAAACTTTGATGAGAGTAGGCACTTTTGCGGTTCAATCAAATAGGGCTGGGCAACAAGGTCAAGCTCCTCCGACAATTTATTTTTTAAATTCTCATTTTAGACTTATAGACTTCATGACCCATGTTTTCTTTACTCTATCCTCTGAACTTCCACGTTTATCAATACATCATGCGTCAGGTAAGGTCAGGTTACTCTTTCTCTGTAAATCGATGCGTATTGCCGACTGTCGGAAGCTATATATTTTAGTTTATAATGTTTTAAAAGTGGAAATTGTTCTTACACAAATGCTTCGCTTTGCTTCAGAAGGCCTTTATTAAACCCCTGAACCCATATGGATTACTTTTATGATGGATGGACGCACTTTTTCGGCTTCAACAACAGGCTCTATTCACTCCCATTATAGAGCTTGGAAGAGCAAGGATATATTTTTAATATAACTCCAATTGCGTTTGGCTGCAAAAAGAAAATCATATACACCTAGGCTTGAAGGAGAGTAAATTATTAGATCATTTTTGGGTGAACTAACTCATTTTTGGGTGAATATAGGATATCTGCTGGACTAAAATGGAGTGAAAGGATGGTCCTAACCTGATAAATCTCCAGTGGCTGATGAGACCCCGAAGTGGTACCCTTGTGGCAGCCTCACTCCAGGTATGTCCAGACAGTCCTTCCACTCTTGCTTCCCATCAGTATCCATCATCACCTGAAAGACAGAACAGCAAATGAAGGTGCAAATGGAACTGAAGGCTGCTTTCCAACATCTGTCTAAACAATATTCCCATTATATCCGCATCTCCGCGAGATCAAGAAAATTTAACCTTTCCCATGTCAGTTAAGAAACTGAACTGGTGCGGCACTGCACCAGTATTGTATTACTCTTTGGCTGAATAAATGCAGAATGTAAAGATGTCACTTACTGTAAGTCTGTTCTTCATGTATCTGATCAAGAGGAACGTGTCATATTCAACGTTGCGAACTTGAGCAGTGCAGCCTCCAAGATCAGTAGACCGTCCGTCTCGTTCATGTTCATATTCTACACTCCCATTCCCGACCATTGCAGAGATAAAAGGAAACGTTCTCTGCAAAAGAGACAGAAATTAAACAGGTTACATTATTTCTTACTTTCAGGCCAGGGTTTATGTTATTTAAAAAAAAAAATGTCCCTATGATATAACAAACACTTTTTTTACTAATAATGTTTAGTGGCGATATACCTCAATCTGCTTGACATCATTCGGATAAGTGTCTACAAAAACACCCAGACCAGTAAAAAAATTTGCGTTTCCAAATACTTGTCCTAGAGGAAAACACAAAGAACAAAAAAGCCATAATAGTCATATCATGGAAAAATCAATATTTTTAAAATGTGAAATTATGATGATTTACCAATTTGCATTCTCTCTTTAGTCAGCCATATTGCAAGGCCATCCCCATTCAGGTTCTTCTTGCCCTCTCCATGGATTTTAAATTGCACTCGTAGCTCCCAGTCTCTAAGGTAACAGGGCTACACAAACACACTGATTAACAAGCCTGACTATTACACATCATCTCAAGAAGTTCTTTGGTTGGGCTGCCTAATAGCTCTAGATTCAACCCAAGGTGGCGTTTCAGGTTTTCTTGTCATTCAAACTCACAATGCGACTCCACACAGCTCCTTGTCTGCTCTGCAAGTCTGGTGTCAGCCGTATGTGTTCAGGCATGATCATGGTGTTTCCCATGAACTCCCAGTGTGATGAGCTGGAGGAGCCCAGTCCTGTGAGCATACATCAACTTTTTAAAGTAAATGTAATTGCGTGCACGCACGGATGGATGGGCACATACTCAAACAAATATATATGTTTGGCATCTTAACATTAGGGTGATATTTTTGTCAGTATATTTATTTAGCATGTTTTACTTTTGTTTCTAGATAACCATGACCATATCTCCCTCAAGCTGTATGAGTAAACAAGGGATAGTTCAAGATAAAAGTTATAGTAAATGCACGTTCACGTTGTTTAATAAAGCAAATGAACCGGAATATTACACTTGTCCTGAACTTCCGCCCTATGGACGACGTTACAAATCACTGCAGTTGCGAAATAAAACAGCCACTCTTACGAGAGCAAGAAAAGGACAACCAAAAATAACAAAAGAAAAGAAATGAGACAGTTATCGTCCTAACAATAAACTTGTGGTCTCACTGAACTATTTTCTTCTTAACTAACGTTAGTTGACTTTGCTGAAACAGGTGCCACTTTTGGCAGGGGACCGGTAACGTAACTGAGCGAATAGGAATAGACGCTTACCTTGGTAGGGCTTAGTCAGCGAATACTCTCGCTTGAGAAATTCATAAGCATTATCTTCATGTGTGTTTTCTCCAGAACTACTACTCGCAAAAGCGAATATTAAAACTAATAACACAGATACTCTAATTTTGTTTGTCAGACAATTCATTACAGTTGTGTAAATAGTCCCGTTCAACTTCATCGCGATGGTCGCCATTTTTCCTCGTTTACTTCAAAATGTCCGCCCCTTGTCGCTATTGGTCTATTTTCATTCGTGCACTGAAATGGTTGGTTCACAGTATTGCCAATCATATTTTTGACCAATCACCGTTGCGTTTGGTGAATATGTGTGCCAATAAAATAAGAATGCTCAGAAAAAAAAAAATTAGGCTAAAAAACTGTTTTAAATGTTAAAATTACAATTCAAATCTGCATTCTGAATCTAAATCTTACTCCCAAATATTTACATTTAATTTACATGGGCTATCTAAACTATTATGCAAATCATCATGCCCCATATGCCTTGGTTTCTGTTTGTTTAATACATTTATGCCTAAGCAAATGTTGGTCATTCAAATAAGCTGACATTTTTTAAGTGGGCCTACTTTAAAAGAAATGCTCCACACGGGCCTCTCTAGCTGCCAATTTGGTTTATTGTTGATTTGTTTACAGATATTATACAAATGTGATGATATTATGACAATTTAAGAGGGCTGTGTTTTTTATTTCAGTTAGGCTACTAAAAATATATAAAAATAACTTTAAAATTAGAAAAATCAACAAGCAATTGATTAAACAGGCTCTAAGTAAAACAGCACAATCACTTGTACAGTCAGTCACAAACAATGTGTTCACCTATTGTTATAAAATGTATTATTATTGCAATGTTTGATATTTCATATTGGCAGCAGTTTAAATTACTCACCGCTAGAGGTCACCCGAGGACTGGAATAGTATTTGTAGTTAAAGATCTTTAGTTTGATCTTTTTAGTTGGCCTTTACTCTCCGCACACATATCCCCACTGCTTTAAGTGGATCACTGCTTAGGTGTTTTAAGAATATGGTGCATTTTCTGTGGGTGTTCATGAAGTTGTTTCCTTGTTGAGTCCAACCTATAAGTGGCAGGTGGCACTACACTAGCAGACAGCATGCTGGACTAAAGTGTGGCTTTGAGTTTGGTGGCCTCTTTAGGCTATAATCAGAAGGAAACATGTTTACGCCTAAGCTATAATACCTAATCAGCCAAGATCTAAAATAGCATTTACACCAGTTCAGGTTACGACGTCACTGAGTCACCTCCTCTGCTTTCCCCACACTGTTTTCCTCTATCAGGTTTATGAAGGCTTGATTACCAGCACTTTAATGAGGGATATATACAGTTACACAAGTAAATTGGTCTTGGGAAAATTTGGCACTTTTTGGCACAAATCTTGGAACTGTCTTGTTCCATTAGAGATCAAATGCAGTCATAAATAAAATAATAATAAACATATATAAATCCAAACTTAGAAATGATGTGAATAAACAGATTATTATTTAAAGGAGTGTAAGTTTTTATTTATTTTACTTTACAACGAAGACATTTAGAATTTGTATAAATAATACAATTGACCATTTATACATTATATTTGAAAGTTCTGCTTGTATTTCTCATTTCGATTGCTTTAATTCCTTAACAACTGACATTACATTATTAAAAACAAAACAACAACAACAAAACTGTATGAACTTTGAATACTTTAAATCGGGGATTTTTAAAATTATTTTTATGAGGGGTGGCTAAAATCAATGATACTAAGGATGCCGTGCAACAAAGCATTTCATTTTTAATATTTACAGATCTACAGTAGATTATATCACAGATGTAAAAACAAAAGTGAATATGCTGTTCTTGAGGATATCCCAAGAATATTAAGTGCATCAAACAGAACTCATCTTTCAAAGGTTTGCCTTGCACCTTTCTTTTGAATCTTGGATCATGAATATCTTAGCCACACCATGATCAACATGTATTGTCTTTGCCAGCACTTTTCATTCAACTAGACACAAGATAAAGAGGTGTAAAGATGGATTATAGGACTAAAAAAAAATCCCATAAAGTCATAATGAGCAGTTTCTAAGCAAAGATATTCCAACACAGTGTCAGTTTATCCACAATTTGGTATCCAACATTGATTTCTCCACATTTATGTGATGTTTTTTAATGCACACGAGTCAAGTAAAACAGGTTTGAATGACTTTAGTGAATAAATGTTCACATTTATTATTAATATTAACCCTTAAAACTCTTTGTTGTCTTACAGTAGACCATCGCCTGCAGCTGCTTCACTGGCCCTCATTCAGTGTAATCCATTTTTGTGAGGTCAATATCACCTGCTGTTTTTATATTCCATCACCAATTACTCATCGTAATGCTGTATTTGACACAGATCATTTCACTTCAGGCTGCACCTGTTCATTCAGCACTGGATTCGCTAAACACGTTATAATGAAGCGGAGTCATCTATTTCGTATTTTAAAGCTAACAGGGATATATCTACATTGCAGACACGGTGAGTATATGTTTTTTTTCTAAAGTAGGCTTCACTGAGAAATGGTCCACATGTGAATAATGTGCAGTTTGTAGCCTATATCTCAGCGGAGACATTAAGAACACCTTCAGACAAAGATTTTGACGCTGTTTGAATCCGAGGCTGTAATTATAGGCACTCTTTGTGCTGAGGTGTCCTCAGTGTGCCTCTTCTTCCATTGAGGTGTTTGTGCTGACAAAAGGGAGCGGAAGAGAAAGAATACATCTCCTTAATTAAATAGCACTGCTCCAAAGCCATCCTCATCAGAATGCCTGTCTCAATCAATAATTCACACCAATAGTGATTCCTTAAGTGTCAGTTTGACAGTGAAAGTGCATGTTTTTATTTATTTATTTTTGCCATTTTAACGGTCTACAAATAATTAATTTGTTATTCCTCGTTTTTATTAGATATAATATCTTTAAATAACATTTTGTTCTAATAAAATATTTCTTTGCATTGTTTGTTCACCTGCTGTCTAGCTGAAGAATATAAGTAGCCTATAGTATTAGTCACTTTATTTTCCAAACTATCTTCCTGTGAAGAATTGGGCCTTTGTTCAGTCCAGGTCTGACGTCTTCTCCCAGAGGAAGCCTTCACTCACCCATTATCTCTCTGCCGATTTTTACTGTTGACTTTGATCAATATGCCCCTCATTAACATTAAAGCAAGGCTGTGGTCTGCTCATTTTATTTATTTGTTCATTGCATCATACTGGAATGCTGTGTTGACTATATCTGGCTCACTGAATTTTTTTCAAGGAAGAAACTTGTTTAAGATAAGATTCCTTTTCATGTTTTGAAAGGAATGCGTCAATGCGCACAAAAGTTGCATTCATTTAATAAAAAAAATCCAATAAAAGCTATTATAAAATATAAATAAGGTTTAAAAAAAAACAACTTTTTTTTTCTATTTTAAATTGTAATTTATTCATGCAATGGCAAAGCTGAATTTTCAGGCCTACTCCAGTCTTGAGTGTCACAAGATCCTGAATAGAATGTTCAAAAAAACACCATTTATACGAAATAAAAACATTTTAGCATAAAATTGTTTTTACTGTTACTTTTGATCAGTTAATGCATCCCATCTGTATAAAAGTACTAATCTTACTGACATCAAATTTTGAACAGTAGCTAGTGCATAAATAAATGTGCATATTTGTCTTCAAATTTGTTCAGACTTGGTTTTGGTCAATAATTCGTTTTGATTATTAATTCTTTGTCTCATATTACTTTTAAGAATTTTATTAATCTATTTCCTTATTTTACTCATATGTAGTTATGTGTTTATTTATTCATCATATAGTTGTCATATCCTTTTTAATACTTGTTAATTATTATATTCATAGACTTCAATTTGTATTATTTTTCTCATCGATAACAACATTTAGTTATATTGGACTCATTTGAGTTATAGATTTTGATTCTATTATTGTTCTTAAAATGAATAAGACCCCCCCACCCCACCCCCACACACACACACACACACACACACACACACACACACACACACACACACACACACACACACACACACACACACACACACACACACACACACACACACACACACACAAATTCTGGAGAGACACTTCAAAGAGACACTCTCAGAGTCAACAATGAAGAAAAGTCTCTGCTCCACAGGGACTGAAAGTAGAGTAAACTGGATGCTGGGAAACAATTGTAGGTTTGTGACAGATTCACAGGCAGGCATGATAAATTCCAAACATTTCTCATGCTCTTAGATCCATATTGTGGATCTAAGAGCTTGAGAAAAAACTTGGACTTCGACTGATCTATCTATCCATCTAAGGTATATTTAATTTAACTATGGCCAAGTATAAGTAGTAAAAGTTGTTTTGTTTGATGTTGAAAAATACACATTTGCTAGTATATTGTTTTGGTGGAAGAAATGTAGTGTCAGGAGACAAAATGTGCCAGAAACGGTTAAAAACACACACACACACACACATGATGCACATGTTTACAATACAACATACTGAAATATATATGATAGTTTAGCTTATCCCTTTCTGATTTTTGATTCTCCTTTCACAATGTACTTTGTCCTGACCCATTCACTTTGGCAAATAAACACACCAAAGCCCACGCAAAGCTTAAATAAACATAGTTTTATTGGCTTTATTGCATTGCAAAATCAATCCAAGCATTTCAATATAAAGAGAGTAAATCACTTGTCTGAAGCAAACAGAAATAGAAAAAAACAATTCAAGAGGCAAAGGGAAGGAAATCAATTTTCACAAATTAGAACTATTATCTTATTAAGAAATGGATGAAATCAAAGAAAGCTTCAAGGGCTCCTCTCTGAAGAAACTTTTAGACTGCATTCAATCTTCCATGCAGTACATGCATTAAATCCTAAAATTACAATCAACTGTATTATTGCATTTAATAAAATCTGAAATTTAAGATATATTCATATGAACCATATCTAAAAATATTTATTTTTTGCAGTAAAACAGTCATGATCTCACATCCACATTTTTAAAGGAATTTCTTTGCAGGTATAATGTTGATATATTTACCCAGTATACCTGACAAAAGAGCTTTTACAAAGAGATTTAAAGAGGCATTTTTTCTTAGAAACACTTTTTGTTATACTGCTTGAAACTCTTTTCACATCCAGAGAGCAATCAATAATA